CATTCTTATATGTGACGATCACTTGTCTCTCTCACATGTGTGGTTGTACTCTGATGTATGATGAGTTTGTGTGGACAATGTGTGAAAAACCTTTTATGTATCTTGGGTATTGTGAATATGATTGTAAGTAAAACTGTCTACTCCTCGGTATACTTGTGCGACCTGCCCACGGCAGCTGATAAGGCAGAGTATAAGGGGAGGACCCATAAGATGATCTCTCAGTGATGTTCTGTTTTATGATGGGACCCCCTTAGATTTTGGAAAAGGGAGGGGATGTTTTGTGATGTTTTGTGATATAACGAAACCCCTCGTGACTTTGAGAGAGGGGGTGTTTGGTTTATGATGAGACCCTCGTGATTTCTGGAAGAGGGAATGTATTGTCTTATAGCGAGACCCCTCGCGATTTTTGGAAGAGGGGGTGTTTTGTTTATGAAGAGAGTCCCTTTTGGATTGTTGGAAAAGGGAAGTGGTTTTTGGTTGGAAGACTCATCCTCAGAAGTGAGTAAATTGATTTATGGCATGACGAGTTGTTCGATGGGTGATAAAGTCTGACGGAAAGAGGCCACTTTTTGTTTGAAATGTTTGAGAAAGTCGCAATGAGTACAGGGCGAGAGATGTCTCAGGGTGGGTGGGTGCTGACTCTGATCAAGTTGGGGGTCACGGCCTGGTGGATTTAGCGGTGATTTTGCTTGTAAGCGTGCAAAGGAGGCCATGCGTATTGAAGGAGGGTTGGTAAATGCCTTCGGACCCCTGCGTATCGCGCAATGGGCCTGTGATTTTGTTTTGACGCACCCGATTAACCACTGGTGTTAATTCTGAGACATATTGAAGAAAGGCCAAGCTAACGGAAAAGAAGTTAGTACCTCTAGGGCGTAACCCCATTGGATGGCTGCTAACCAGCGCAACCTGGTTGCGGGACCACGGGGTAAGAGTTTAAGGGGAGTTACCCGCCCCAGGGAAATTACTTTGTGGGATAGTGAAGGTTGAGATTTTGGGAGGTCCTGATTGAGTGCCTATCAGGAGAAACCCTATCGTTGCGTAACCAACGAGGGTACTGCCGTTAAATAACAATGCGGTAGACCGTAGTCATGGTCCGATCAACCAGGCTATGGTGGGCCAAGATGGAGACCTGGCCTTTCTGTACTAGACTGCAGAAAGAGTGGAGTGGATATTAAGTTTACATATATACTTATATGTATTTGATTGCGAGAGATTTTGAGAAGGAAGGTGAGAGTGCCTTCAAAGGTATCGGTTAAGGCCGGCGTCCCTAGTTTTTGCCAGGATTAGGGACACCCAACGAGAAGCCGAAGGTTGTCTAGGACCGGGGAGAGGACGATTGGGAAGGTCTTTGGAACTTATGCTGCCAGTGTCCTAATTTCTGGACGGTGTGAGGCCCAGGTTAGAAACCTGGCAGCATATAGTTGTGGAGGCATGGTTTGATGGAGGCCTCTACCCTGTGTTTGTCGGCTAATCGGATTGGCTCCTGTTTCGTCAGCATTTGGAGTGGATGGATTTATAGCTTTCTGATTTGGCGAAGCGACGGGGACGTCGCTTAATGTGGTCCGGTAGCGCCACGGTGCTCATGGCGCATGAGTTAGAGTCGGTGTACGATCCCGAGCCTGATCCCATGGCTCAGGACGCGATGGAGGCCGAGCCGTGGTCCGATCCGGACGACCTGGCCGTGGAGTCAGAGCCAGGAGGTTCTGATGACGATGACGACGACACTCCTCTCAACCAGATTCCGCGTCCTCGCACACGTGCGTCCACGACGGCCGCTGCACCGTCTCCCGTAGCACGCCCTCCTTCGAGTGCTCCTGACGTCTCACAGCCAGGCCCGGCGGACCGTGTCGAGAGCAGTACGCCACACCCTTCGACCGATCGTCGCGGACAGGGAGGGACTCGCGAGCGTGTCGACGAGGGAGACGATGACGATGGCGACGATAGGGAGGGATATGAGGGCAGCAGTGAGGATGAGGATGATCCCTGTTATTCCCCAACACGCGGACATGGTGACGACAATGACGACGAGGGCGGCGACGGTGAACGGGCTGTGGGTGGTTTGCGGAAGTCCGAGAGACAGCGTGGCGACCGATGCAGTGGTGCAAGCAAGGGAGGCAACCAGCCGGGTGTTGGGGGTGCAGGGCGCACAAGTGGTGCAGGGCGTGCTGGCACAGGAAAAGTAAGGCGAGAGTCTGCATCGTCCACTCGCACTTTGCATTGGGTTGATGAGGAGAGGCCCGCTGAGGCAGCTGTGGTTGCTCCCTCCCCTATGGAGGTTGCTCCCTCCCCTGCAGAGTTCGTTGCGGCGTCTGCAGAGGGTGCAACGGCGTCTGCGGAGGGTCCAGCGGGTTTGCGGGTGGTAGTGGCGATGCTGAAGAGGTTGGGAGGCCATCTGCACAGGTGGGTGTCAGTTTCAGCGACAACATTTTTGATGTTTCGTTACGGCATCCTCGGACACCGGCAGGGGAGCGTGTCGGTGTCGCTGTGGACGCATCGGCCACGCCCGTCATTCAGATACTTCGTGACATACCTTCATGCAGCACGGGCGACATCAGTAGTAGCATGGTGCAGGAGGCAGCAGAGGGGGCACCGGGTCGGTCGGGGCAGCACGAGCGGGCGACAGAGTCAGAGCAGGACAGGATCGACTTCGAGGAGAGGAGAAGGGCGCAGGGGTTGGCTAGCCGCTGCGAGATGACGCAGAGTGTTGCTTTTAGGACATGTGTAGCGCGGATGCTCGAGACGGGCGTTGAGGCAGGTGATGCAGAGGGCGAGTGCGGCGTTGCGGGCATAGGGGATGCGGGCGAGAAACCTGCGTCGCCAATTCAGGGTGTTTGCGTATTGCCTTTCGGTGGGGCCATGTCGGCGGGGGAGTTGGAGCGGCAGGCACGGGAGGACCCGTTGCAGGCAGATCGCCGGGGGCGGATGACCGAGGCGTCGAGGAGACTGATGGCAGAGGCCCCGACTTACGTGCCTTGCAGCCCGTCAGTGCCATCGTCCACCACAGGTGTCAGCACACCCGCATATGTGGAGGGCACAGTCACGGCAGAGGCGGTACGGGGCCCCTCGCCGACACCCGTCGGGGAGTCTCCTTCTCCTCAGCCACGGAAGAAGAAGATGAGAGCAGGGAAAAGTCTTAGTACCGTGAGGAGAGTGACGCAGACGATGCGGGCGAGTCAGCCTGGGTTGGCCGGTTTACATCCGCGGACACGGGCGATTTTGAGCGGGGACGTTGTCGCAGACGCAGCAGGATGGCAGGAGAGGGTCTCCGACCGAGGGACGGATCAGCCCATGAGCGCACCTGCTGAGGCGGCGTTGCCACATACTGCAGGGCGTACAGCGGGCACTGGCGACCACGCCGAGCACAGTGCGCCCCCCGGGAGGAGCATGGCTGCACGTATATTGAGGGAGGATGTGAGGGCAGCGACAACGCAGTGACCGTCACAGGTGCCAGTCGTTTGGGTGTCTGGCACAGACGATTTGGAGATGCCTTATGGCCAGCGGAGGAGGGTTTTCGTGTACGATCTTCTTCGACCACAGGGAGGGGTTGAGATGGCGCCACAGGGGGAGATTCATGCTCCGGATACTACGCACGCGCCGGCAGGCGGCACAGGTAGTGGGGATGGTGTGACAGGTGTGGTGCCGCAGAGGAGGAGAAAGGACATTGTGGACGACGATGATGCATAGTTCCACCATTAGTCTTCTTTCATCCTCTGATTCGTAGTAGTGTACAGTATATTTAGTGCTTAAGACGAGGCCTTGTGTTAGTAGGAGTAGTCTGTAGTGCTTGAGACGAGGCCTTGTGTTCGTAGGAGTGGTCTGTGCAGGTCGTCATGACTGTATTTGTATTTCTATAGGTGGTTAGACTATTGTATACTATTTCCATGCACGGGTGCAGTTTGTTTTTGTTTCTTGYTTTATTTTATCATCGATGTTGTAGAGGATTGCACTTTTTTGAGTATTTCTTCAGACATGGGCTCAGCAGGTGCAGTGCTCACAGTTTCATTTTTTGTTTGTCCTGTTATTTTTGTATCAATGTTTCTGACGATTCGACAGTTCTTTCRCACACCATTTGACTGAGTCCAGCGTGCATGTGTCTTTTATTGTTGTGTGTGTACGGCTCAGCTGTTTCGCCGTGTTCTTTCGTTTGCCTGTAATGTTACACTCTCAAAACTTGTGCAATGATTGTTTTTTGCAGACTTGCAGATGATGGAGAATGACTCAATGACTGTGAAAAATTGTGTTTATACTTTCAGTCTTGTACTCGTTTCATCGTCTCTGTAGTTCACCTGTGTTACATTTGTCAGCCACCCCGACAAAACCCTCCCCAACCCCCAAACAGTGGCAAACACGACCTTGGCATGACCTTCCCGAATCCCCT